CAGGCAAAAATTTTGAGAGTTTTTGGAATAGGAATTTTGGGACTATGATTCATAAAACTTGTTTATGCCACGGGCTTAACCGTATAGCAGAAGAGGTTATAGCCTGCTTTTTTGAATTAGATCTCTTAATTGCTAACAAAAAGGTTAGGACACCATTTTCTATTATTAAAATAAGAAATAGTCTTTACGAAAGCTCCATCTAGAATTAGACAATACAAGGAATTGATTCCAATGCTTTTGATGCCACCACAACCAGTTCTGACAAGATGGAGTAGTTGGATTTATGTAGCATGCTTCTATGCCGATAATTTTCTTCAAATTGAAGAGGTTAATCGTTTAATTTAACGAAATTATGTTACTATATTTTAACCGATTTTTTAAAATTCAGCCTATTTTGTCCTTTTTCTTGTTTCTTTTAACGTATTTTGGCATTAAAAAAACCTAAAATAGGAACCTATGTATTTCTCAATTTTTCGAGCCTAAAATGTCGGACTCTAGTGATCATTGAGACACGACATTTATAAGTCTTAAAGGACATTTACTTTAAGACAAATAAATAATTTATTTCTTAATAATTTTACAAAAATCCCGACAAAATAGGAAAAAATCTTTTCAAATGCACTTTGAAGTTGAAGATGATATAATATACACTGCTTCACATAATTATAAGTCCACCCCTTTTTTCGGGATTTTTTGACTTCCAGTTATCCAAATTTTCTGAAAATTAGAAACACACCTTTTAGCGAATAACTAAAAAGATGTGAATCGATTTTTGGCTGATTTTTTATTTAAAAAATTTTTAGACCAAAATTTGCATTTTCGGCCTAAGTTTTTTTATTTTGTAACTAATTTTGTTTCTACTTGATTTTATGAGTTCAATCAAATTTTATAAGTCCAATCAGATTTTTGTGGGTTACTAGGGTAGGTCGGCAGATCAAGGCTGAAAATGTAAAAAGGGTTAGGTTTATGTTACTTAGAACCCAGCAACCGTTGACTCCCGCGAGGCGCGTGACGCAAAGAGCGCCAATTATTATGTAATTGTACTTTAAGGACATTAATAAAATTTAGAAAAACAAATATTTTATTTCTTAATAATTTTAAAAGAATCCCGACAAAATTAGAAAAAATCTTTTCATATGCACTTTTAATTTGAGAAGAATATAATTTTTAAGAAATTTTTATTTTGTAATTAATTTTTGTAAAAAAATTTTTTTAAATAATTTACCGGAAATCTTTTAATTAATTAAAAATATTTATTAAAATTTAATATTCTCACTAAAGTACAATTACAAAATATAACATTTGATTAGGAAAATAATTTTTGCCTAACAATTTTGTATAAAACACGACGGAATCTATCAACTAAAAATTAAAAATAAATTTTTAAAAAATGTTTTTAATTAAATTTTTATTTATTTCTAAAATATTATTTTTAATATTTTTTGATTATTCTTTTTCTTCTGATTATAAAAATAATCAACGAATTTTGGTTGAATCTACAGAAAATAATAAAAACGAGGATGGAAGTGTTAAAATAAATTTGTTGAGAATGCAAGTAAATAAAATTGAATATGAATACAAAATTGAAATTTTATATGAAATTGATGAAAAGAACGAAAGAGATTACGTTTATAGTAGTACAAGTCTTTTCCAGAGGAATGTGAAGGCTTTGAAGAAAATTCACATGTAATTGTGGTTGAAAAATCTACCTCTTGTGGTTGAAAAATCTACCCCCCCCCCCAAAATACTGACAAATAAAAAAAAGCTATCTTTATTACATCGGAGTGTACATTATAGTATATTTTGTGGGTATATAAATTTTGACTGCATTTTAATTTTAGAAATTAATGAATTTGGAGTCTATGTTTTTTGCGCAGATTAATTTAGAAGTAAATAGCCTGCATCAAGAGAGTATGGAAAATGCTGCTAGTTTTAATGGTGCAGAAATAAACATAAACGGAATAAAAACACTTGCGGACATTTCAAAACAATTATGCAAAATTGACAAAATTAATATGTTTTTTGAATCCAGAAGGGCCTGGAAAAATTTTAAAAAGAGAAAATTTTATCAAGGCTAATTTTATTGAGTCAACTTCTTTAAAAGGCAAAAAATTTGAAGAGAAAATGGAATATTCTCACATTGAAATTTTGTGTGTAGTTTCGTTAATGATACCACATTTGTATGAATAAGAACTTGTATAAATACAATCTTTTTCATATTTTTCATCAATTTCGTATAAAATTTCAATTTTATATTGGGCAGTCTCCCCTTCAATTTTATTTACTTGCATTCTCAACAAATTTATTTTAACACTTCCATCCTCGTTTTTATTATTTTCTGTAGATTTCACCAAAATTCGTTGATTATTTTAATAATCAGAAAAAGAATAATCAAAAAATATTAAAAATAATATTTTAGAAATAAATAAAATTTTAATTAAAAACATTTTTTTAATTTATTTAGCTTTTAGTTGATAGTTTCACCTGTATTTTATACAAATTTTTAAAGGAGAAATTGTTTTAATTAAAAATCATTTCATAATTGTACTTTTATAAATTATGACAAATTTTATTTTTCATAATTGCACTTTAAAGACAATATTAACCTTTGATAAATAATGATTTCATTTCTTAATATATTTATATTACCTTAAAATATTTTCCTCCTCATGTATGTACTTTAAAAGTCTTTGAGAAAATATTTTGCCGATAAAAGTCTAGCTCACTACATGTCCACAAAAGACATTTCTACTTTTACCGGCAAAATATTTTTTCTATATATTTTTCTAATAAGAAATAAAATCGCTATTTATCAAAGGTTAATATTGTCCTTAAAGTGCAATTATGAAAAATAAAATTTGTCATAATTTATAAAAGTACAATTATGAAATGATTTTTAATTCAAAACAATTTCTCCTTTAAAAATTTGAATAAAATACAGGTGAAACTATCAACTAAAAGCTAAATAAATTTAAAAAATGTTTTTAATTAAATTTTTATTTATTTCTGAAATATTATTTTTAATATTTTTTAATTATTCTTTTTCTAATTATAAAAATAATCAACGAATTTTGGTTAAATCTAAAGAAAATAATAAAAACGAGGATGGAAGTGTTAAAATAAATTTGTTGAGAATGGAGATTAATAAAATTGATGAAGAAGAATATAAAATTGAAATTTTATACGAAATTGATGAAAAATATGAAAAAGATTGTATTTATACAAGTTCTTATTCATACAAATGTGGTATGATTGAAGAAACTGCACACAAAATAAAAAGTATTGTTAATGGAAATAAAGGGAAAAAATTAATTTTGATTGAAACTTTCTTTTGGGGTTCAAACATAACACAAATAAATATTTGCTTAGAAGAATATATTGTTTATTCTTATGAAACCGAGATTAAAAAGGTAAACAAATACAATCGGACCACTAATTTCACTTTGGATAAATTATCGAAAAGCTAAGAATCCACCATCACTCAAATCTTTCATATCCATCGAAATTTACCCAAATACTCTTAGGTCCCTCTTAATCCACCCAAATGTCACTTCTAGTCTACGGAAATGTTCTGGGAGCAAAGTACTGACTTCATAGGATATAAAATAAAGGATGAAACCTGGCGTATGTATGATATCTCCTCAAATCCCTTGATAACCCCAGTGTCCGTCGAGTTCCTAATGGGATTGTAAGACTCAATTGAGGTTTGATTTAAACAAAGCCTATACAGCAGGGATGTGTCGGCTGAGAAAAAAGTCAGGTCGAATTTCGGATCGGGTTTTATAAATTTTCTCTGGATCGGATTTTGGGTCAAAAAAGGCAGGGTTTCAGCTATCGGGTATCGGATACCCCTCCCATCCCTGTTATACATAGAATTTTAAGATCACTTTATTTCATTTCAGTTATTAATAACTTTATTTCCCATGCTTCCTGCACAAGTAGATTTGAAAATAAATAAAGTGTCAACTGAGAGAATGGAACATGGATCATATTTTACAGATATTATAATAAAAATAAACGGAATAAACTCAGTTTTACAACAGAATTCTCAAAGCAATTATAAATTGACAAGATTAATATGTTTTTTGAACCCGGAAGGGCCTAAAAAAGCCTTAAAAAGAGAAGATTTTAGCAAAACTAATTTAATTGAGTCAACTTCAATAAATGACAAAAAACATTTTGAGAAAATGGAATATTCTCACATTGAAATTTGTTTAAAATTTGAAAATCCAGGGAATTATTTTATTAATTTCCTTAATGGCAGTTACTATTATTATGGATGGTTTCAATTTTACGTTAAAATTAAAAAAGCAAAAGAGGTGACCTGTGTATTCAAAATGTTTAAAAATATTTCTGATTTGGATAAAAATCTATTGAAGGATTTGAGACAAAAAATAGGAATCTATATATTACAAACAGAAATAGATGATATTGAAAATGGTAAAATGAAAGTATATAGTGGACATTTGTTCACCAAACATCCCAAAACAGAATTTGTTGCCTCAATAACTCCTTTGCTAATTGATGGAAGCTATGAATTTTACTTGGATGATGATGGAATTACTAAAGAAAGAATGAAGATTGTTGAGCCGAATTTTAAAAATTAATGAAATAAATTTCGGGACTTATATCTCTGTTGTTTTCGCTGATTAATTTTCTTGTCAATCGACTCAGCTTTGTTGTTGGAACCTCTCATGTATTCCAGATTACATTGCCGAAATATACGGTACCAGCAAGAGAATATACTAAGGTTAATGGAATCTTGGACACTGGAATTCGGGTAACCAAGATTTTTTTGGAACGTTTGGTCAACAGCACAATTTTGGTCGTCAAGTCAAAAGACGAAATATTGAGCATTGGAATTATAAATTTTTCTAAAAATAATTTGGAAAATAATATTAATCGAATAGTATATACTTCGATTGTCAATCCCGGTGGGCCCATAAAAGTCATCAACAGATTTCCCAATAAAGTTTTCTCATTTGTTAGATTTTCTTTTATTAATTTTTAAAATTCGGCTCAACAATCTTCATTCTTTCTTTAGTAATTCCATCATCATCCAAGTAAAATTCATAACTTCCATCAATAAGCAAAGGAGATATTGAGGCAACAAATTCTGTTTCGGGATGTTTGTCGAACAAATTTCCGCTATATACATTCATTAGGCCATTTTCAATATCATCCATCTCTGTTTGGGTTGTATGGATTCCTATTCTATGTCTCAAATCTTTCAATATATTTTTATCCAAATCATTCGTTTTCTTGAACATTTTGAACACACATTTTTCCTCGTTTGCTTTTTTAATTTTAACGTAGAATTGAAACCATCCAACATCAAAATGATTGAAAACGATAATAAAATAATTGCCTGGATTTTCAAATTTTAAACAAATTTCAATGTGAGAATATTCCATTTTCTTTCCATGTTTTTTGCCATTTATTGAAGTTGACTCAATTAAATTAGCACTGTTAAAATTTTCTCTTTTTAAGACTTTTCCAGGCCTTTCCGGATTCAAAAAACATAATCTCGTCAATTTATAATTGCTTTGAGATTTCTGTAATAACAATGAGTAATAATAATTTTTATTATTATTGAATGTGTTATTCTCTCATTTGACAGTTTATTTTCTCCAAATCTAATTGTGTAGAAAACAGGTAATACCATTATTAATATCTAGAATTGAAATAAAGGGGCTCTGTAGTCTCGTCAGAGATGAGTTTCGTCAGAGGTTCTTTTCGACAGTATTATGCCTTATACTAGATTATCTGTTTCTGGCCTAATTTAATTTGAAGTGTACTTTTTATTTGGAAGTTTAGTCCCTATGTACTTTTGAATCGAGATTTTTGTGCTTTTGATTGGCATTTTGTCAATCCGAACACTGGAATAACAGGGAGGGAGGGTAGTATAATCGTTCCACTCTAAATTTTAACTTCTTTCTTACAATAAACTATATTTTTTACGATATTTTATCCAAAGTGAAATTAGTGGTCCGATTTTATTTGTTTACCTTTTTAATCTCAGTTTCATAAGAATCCTCAATATATTCTTCTAAACAAATATTTATTTGTGTTATTTCTTGATACAAGAACACATCCTCAATCAAAATTAATTTTTTCCCTTTATTTCCATTAATTACACTTTTTATTTTGTGTGTAGTTTCGTTAATTATACCGCATTTGTATAAATAAGAACTTGTATAAATACAATCTTTTTCATATTTTTCATCAATTTCGTATAAAATTTCAATTTTGTGTTGGTCAGTCTCCCCTTCAATTTCATTAACTTCCATTCTCAACAAATTTATTTTAACACTTCCATCCTCGTTTTTATTATTTTCTGTAGATTTAACCAAAATTCGTTGATTATTTTTATAATCAGAAAAAGAATAATCAAAAAATATTAAAAATAATATTTTAGAAATAAATAAAATTTTAATTAAAAACATTTTTTAAAAATTTAATTTTAATTTTATTTTGATAGTTTCACCTGTGTTTTATTTTATATAATTCAAATTTTAAAGGAGAAATTGTTTTGTCAATTAAAAATTATTTCATAATTGCACTTTAAGGACAATAAACAAGTAAAGTAAAGATTGACAAATAATGATTTTATTTTTTATTAAATTTATTTACCTATAAAATATTATTAAGAAATATTTTCCTCCTTATGTATGCACTTTAGAAAAAATATTTTGCCGGTAAAAGTAGAAATGCCTTTTTCGGACATATAGAGAGCTAGACTTTTATCGGCAAAATATTTTCTCAAAGACTTCTAAAGTGCATACATAAGGAGGAAAATATTTCATAGTAATATTTTATAGGTAAATAAATTTAATAAAAAATAAAATCATTATTTGTTAATCTTTACTTTACTTGTTTATTGTCCTTAAAGTGCAATTATGAAATAATTTTTAATTCAAAACAATTTCTCCTTTAAAAATTTGAATAAAATACAGGTGAAACTATCAACTAAAAGCTAAATAAATTAAAAAAATGTTTTTAATTAAATTTTTATTTATTTCTAAAATATTATTTTTAATATTTTTTGATTATTCTTTTTCTGATTATAAAAATAATCAACGAATTTTGGTTAAATCTACAGAAAATAATAAAAACGAGGATGGAAGTGTTAAAATAAATTTGTTGAGAATGGAAGTAAATAAAATTGAAGGAGAATCTAGGCGATATAAAATTGAAATTTTGTATGAAATTGATGAAAAATATGAAAAAGATTATATTTATTCAAGTTCCTTTTCAAGTTCTTTTCCAATCTATTGTATTTTCAATATCGAAAATTCACACAAAATTAAAAGAATAACTAATGGAAATAAAGGGAAAAAATTAATTTTGATCGAGGATTTGTTAAAGTATTCAGAACTATTCGAAGTACAAATTTGCTTAAAAGAATATAAAAATGGTATTGAAATTAGAAAGGTAAAAGTGTATAAATAATTATTTTAAATATTTACAAATAAGAAAATATAAATAATTATAAATACCGTATTTTCTCGATTAATTCCCCCGGGGAATTATTTTTTCAACCCTTCCATGGCATGAAGAATTAATCGAGAGAGGGGGAATTATTCGAGGGAGGGGAATTAATCGAGAAAATACGGTAAGTTTGCTTGGGTAAATGATCGTTTCGTTCCCTACCTGTGCGCAAGGAGAATGGCATTTTCTTTTCCTTTTATTGCATTTTTTGCGCAGGAAAAGTGCTTATCATATTTTCTCTACCTCATTATTATCCCTCAGAAAAAGAAAGAGAAAAATAAAATAATTATTAATTGAGTGAATGGTATATTTATAAATTATAAATATTAATAATAATTAAATGCGGCATGTCTTGGATTTTAAGAAAATAAGACTTTAAGGTCTTGAACAGTTAGTTTATGTTAACCGATCAGTTAATCGCTAAGAATTATTTATGAATCCCATTAACGTCATAATACAAAACAAATTGAAGCATTTTGGAACAGATTGAGATTTAGAATGATTTGTTAGAATTTCCTAAATCCAGATCAAGAATCCTGTCCTTGTCACTAATCTAAATCCAGATTCAGGATGTTTGAAAATACCGATTTCGAGTATATATCCATCTCTAATATACCCTCCTCTTTTTTAAAAATTTTTCAAAATTTATAATTTTTAGATAATAATGTTATTGGTACCGTTGTTTTTTGCAGAAATAGATCTGGATGTATATGAACTGTCAGCTTAGAATAGAGAAATTGCTGATAATTACCCTGGGGCCTATGCAAATTAGATCATATTTCTGATATGACATGTCATATTTATGACACGTCATATGTAAAGTTTCTGTTCAAATTGTGTCATATGAAAAATCATATGCGGCCGTCATATGACATGTCATATTTCTGACATGTCATACGCAGCCGTCATATCTCTGTTCAAATTGTGTCATAAATATGATATCAGAAATATGATATCATATTTATGACATGTCATACGCGGCGTATGACTTTTCCACTGACATGTCATATCTGCGTTCAAATTAAACCGTGTCATATCTGCGATATGATACGTCCTCCTAGCAAAAATCATATGCGGGTGTATGTACTTTTTAGCGGATACTTAAATTTTTAAAAATTTTTTAAAAATCCAAATTCAACCTAAAAATTCTAAATAAAATATTTTTAAATAGATTAGAGTGTGCTCTATTTTTTTATGCAAGTTTGGGGAATTTTTCTTTTAAAATAAATTTATTATGAGCTCTCGCGTAAAGTACACCATTTTTGCGAGAAAAAGGGAAAATATTTCTTCGATTAAGCGTCTTTTAAATTTTAAAAGTCCTAGGAAAATTAAGCTAAAATTCTGATATTTAACTTTAGTATGTAAAACACTCTCCTCTATCTATTGGTATAAAATTTGGAGAGATTAAGGGGATATATGAGAATTTAGAGGGATTAAGTTGGATATTAGGTTTTTTTGTGATCTTAGGAGATTGATTAAAATTTAAAAAAAATACAATTTTTGTATTTAAAAAAATATAAAAATTCAAAATTAAGTATTTTAGATAGATTAAAGTGTGCTTTATCTTTTGATATCATTTTTAAAAATTTTCATTTAAAAAAGTTTTATTTTAAGCCCTCGCGTAAGGTACCCCATTTTTTAGAGAAAAAAGGAATATTTTCTCGATTAAACGTCTTTTAAATTTTATAAGTGTTGGGAAAGTTAATCTAAAATTCTGATTTTTACTCATAATATCTAAGACACTTTCCTCTATCTATTCATATAAGAAATGGAGAGATTAAAGGGATAGCTGTGGATTAAGGAGGATTTTGGGGTAATTGAGGGTAAAGATGTCCGAGCATATTTCTTGGGGTTTTTTGGTCTTGGTCTTGGGGTCTAGTCTTGGTCTTGGAAAATTTTCGGTCTCGGACATCTCTAATTTAGGGTATAGCCAAACAAAAAATTTTCTTGAAAAATAAAATTTGTTGCCCCGTAACCCGACATACATACCCGCCCCCGAGCGTTCAAGGCACAACCCTACAAATAAGCCGGATGGAAATTTCATTTTAATTTAAAATTCTTCACGCTCTAACGGAAGATACCTTTTTAAAATTAATTTCGAACTACAAAGTGTGATTTAAAAAAAATAAAATTTATTTTATCAAAGGCGAAGCCGACCATTAATTTTTAAGACATTGAAATTAGGGTTGCTCACAACCGGTTTTAAAACCGAAAATTTTGATATTTTTTGCCAAAAATTAACCGATTTTTAAAAACAAAATTTAAAAAACCGAAAACTTCTGAAAATGAGTGATTTTATTAAAAATTCCCACAAAATAAAACCGGTATTTGACTAAAACTCAAAACCAAAAACCGATTTTTAAAATTTGGATTAACCGAAAACTGGGGGTACCGGTTAATAACCGGTCGTGAGCAACCCTAATTGAAATATATAATTTATTTTTAAATGATCAATTTTTCAGTTTAAAATTAAATTTAAATGAAAAAAATTAAAAATCTCAACCAACAATTTTTAATAAAGGGATTTTATAGAATCCATCACGTAACATTTTTGAAATAATACCGCATAGAGATTTGGATTTTTTAAAATAAATTCATTGGGACTCAATTGAGGTATTCATTGGGACTCAATAAGGAAATCATATGCGGGTGTCATATCATATGTTAATTTGAACAGAATAATTTACATATGACGGCTGCATATGATACGGCGTCATATGTGGCCGTCATATGTAGCCGTCATATCCCCGTGTCATATGCGGCATATGATATCATAAATATGATATCATATCGTAAATATGATACAATTTGAACAGCTACATATGACATGTCATAAATATGACACGTCATATCAGAAATATGATCTAATTTGCATAGGCCCCTGGTCTAATAATGAATATAAGCGGAATAACATCAAATTTAC